AAGTAGAGCAAATTTAGTCCGGATAGTGGGCTTCAGCACATCGTTAATGTACCTTGAAAGTTTCAGGGCAGATTCTTGAAAGAGGACTGAATTTCCCCCTGGATCTGCTCCCGGAGTACACTGGCCGGAAGGCTAACAACGGGGTCTGACCTTCCAGCTATTATTAGCGATTGATGCACACAATTAGTCAACAAGTGGTTCGTTGCACTTCTCGCGAAGTACAACATCCACTATACCATTTGTATTCTCTATCATCCACAATTTAGTGGCCAAGTTGAAATGAGAAGCTTTCAATTTAAATATATTTTATAGGCCTCTATCAACAAGATTTGCAAATATTGATCTCTAAAACGGGATGATGCACTATGGGCCTACCGTAATGCTTTTAAAACATCAATTGAGATGTCCCCATTCAAGTTAGTTTGTGGGAAATCTTACCACGTATCTTTCAAAATGGAACATAAAGTTTATTGGGATATTCAATGGCTAAACTTTGATATCTTAGTAGCCCAAAAAAAGAGAAAATATTATATGGTGGATTTTTTTTATGAGTTTCCCTTCCTTGCCTATGAAAGCACAAAACTCTACTAGGAGCGAACTCGTATTTATCATGACAAGATAATTTGCCACAAACTCGTCTCAGCAGAAGATACAATCGTACTCTAAAACTCTAGACTGCATTTATTTCTAGTGAAATTGAAGTTGTGTGGACTAGGCCATTCATTGTAAAACAAGTGTTACCTGATGGAGCCGTATTATGATCTTTATTTCATTAGATGATCATGATGGGTTTCTAGTCAATAGAATGCGTTGAAGGTTTCTCTATGCTTCACGACTCACAAACTCAGTAGTTGGAGCATAAAACTTATTGGGTGATTCCATTTTTGAATTTTGATCTACACCCAACATCAGAAAAGAAAAATAATTTCTTCATGGATTTGGATGAGTTCGACTTCCTTTTTTTTTAATATATAAATATTTACAAGGAGCAAGCTCGATTCTACCATGACAAAGTGATTTGGCTGAAGCACTTCACATAGAGGGATAATGTACTCCTTTGTAATTTCCACTGCATTTTTTTTTTAGATAAACTCAAATCACAGTGGACTAGACCCTACATTGTCAAAGAGGTACTAACCCATGGAGCGTGCAAATATCTTACCTGAATCCCTCCAATGACCATGAAGGTTTCCTCATTAATTGAGTGTGCCTCAAGCTATACATCAAAGAATATTCCATGTTGCATGTGCTACAAGTTCAAATGCTAACACCTATTAATGAGAGTGTCGACAATCAACAGTCTAGAACTAGTTGTTAGAGGGTGAGAAATGATTCAGTGTTAGGAGAAAAATTTCCCCACTATCTCAGTCATCTGACTCGCTATTACCTTAGATTGTTGTTACTACTTTTTAATTAAAATTTGGCTGATTCATTTCTCTTCATCACGTCATAGCTAGTTTTACTGTGTTCTATTATATTTAATCACTTTTTAGGTTTAGAACTCTAGGACCCTGTGATCACGCTTTGCGATGATCCTCAATTCTAATTCTTTCAATCATACCTCAGATCTTTCTGAAACTACATTTTCATCCCATAGCATATAAAATTACAAGTTTATCCCTTAGAAACTTTAAAACCCCTAAAATTCTTCAGTTTTCTTGTCACCCAAGATACAAACTCTCTCAAACCCTTTTTATGTCCGAGCTTCCAAATTCAATTTCAAGCATTTCTATTCATACCGATCCACAATTTTTAGGTATTGTAAACATTCCAAGGTACCCAAATTTCTTATATCAAACTTCCTATTTTGACCCTAGAGCGACTAAAATCGATAGAATAATTTTCCCTTACTGTTTGTGTAATTCTCATGTTCTATGTGCATATTTATATTTATTGCATGCTAATGTAGTTAGAGCATTTTTTTTTTTGTCCCAAGGAACTGATTTCTATTGGGATTGGATTGAAATTTACCTATAAGCCGATTTCTAAAATTTTTCCTGAAACTTCAGTATTGTGTTCGTGTTACCCTCACTATTATTTGACCATAGCCAAGCTGTTATTCTCACTTTGCAAAGGATTAAAGTGGGTACCCAAAACAACTTAGGGAAGGAAAATTAGATTTAATCCCATTTTCTAAATTGCATGAGTTCAAAACGGCCCTAGTTGCGTCCATCCATAACATCAAAGTTTTTAATTGTGATTATTATACAGGGGTGACCACTCCACAAATTGTTGTTATACAAAGGTGAATCCTATGTTGCAAAGGGTATTTGAAAGATCTACCAGCCAAAACATTACCAGATATTGAATTTGACCTCTTAGACATTTTCCAAGATGTGGAACTCTTTTAGGAGAAAAGAAAAGCCAACTTGAAAACTGAGGTTGCATCACTAGAGTCTAAGTTCACTAGGAATATCAAGAAGCTCGTTTGTCAGGAGAAGGCAAGTAGTGCAAGTTACCGGTGAAGAACTTAAATAACCAATCCCACAAATTGAGTATTCTAGAAGAAAGAAATTTTTGAAAGATATTGAAAATTCACTTAGGATTTTGCGAAGTGCACCATATCGAGCACAATAGAATTGGTACCTAGAAAATTACTACCCTTGGTAAAACATTCCGATTGCAAATTGAGATTTTTTGATATTTGATATCTTGACGTATAAAGAGTGGGAATTTATGAGATTATGTTTAGAATTTGACTTGGAAGGCGTGCACCTACTGCTTTAGAAAGACGGGAAATATAGAGTTTTTGGAAAAACATACATTGTTACAAAAAAAGGCAAAATTAAGCGAGAAATAGCTAAGAAGCCTTCTAGACAGGTCACAATGGACATCTAACGTGATGAGTGAGTCTCATCAAAGTAGTTGGTAATGTAAGGACTCCGCCAATTAAACTTTTACAAGAACTAGCGATCGTACTCAATGTTGTCTCACCGAAAGGCAAGGAAAGAATCAATGGTTTCTAATAAGAATGTTGATATCCATCAACTACCATAGGTTCTCAACCGAAAGCTGAACAAGTGGCACTGCTTGTTGATGTTATTCTTTTGCAAGCTCTTCAGAAAATGCAACAGGGGATAGTTGAGTTGCGAGATCATGTGGAGAGGGTGGAACAAACTCAACTGCTTCAAAATCAGGATTTTCAGGAAATGTTAGCTATTCTTGAGAATGGCAAAAAAATTGCCCCTAATTCCCATTCACTAATCAGCTAGGGAATCAGAACACAGGTTGGAATCTGTAGGCTCCACAAAACAATGTACATATGGATTCCTATTACAAAGCTTTATTGGATGCCACTTTGGTTCTCTCGATGCACCAACAGCGGATCACCACTTCAAGTTTCAACCAGTTTTAGTCTCTATGGTGGGCAAGGACAGCTTCAGTGGTCTCAAACACGGAAATCCTTATGATTATCTAAAGAACTTTTCTAAGGTTTGCTCTATGTTCAAAATGAATGGAGTATATTCCAACATTGTCAAGCTCATTTTATTTCCATTTTTATTACAAAGCGAATCCCGCAAATGGGTCAACTCCATCCCAACAACTGCCATATTTATTGAATTAGTACAACAATTCCTATCCCGCTCCTATCCCACCAGTAAAATTGCTCAGCAACAACTGGATATTTCTTAATTGAAGCACGAGGCAGATGAAACACTACCTTAGGCTTGATCTTTCTTCTTTTTGGCTTGACCCAAAACATCCTATTTGATTAGCCTCTTGAGTTCTTTCACCTATACATTTAGATTATCAAATTTGCCCTCTTGCGAAACTATGTATGGTACTCGTATAATCCCTTGCTTGGTGTGCAGTTAGGTTTTGGCCAATTTCTTAGCCTTTCTGATATCTTTTTTATTTTTTCTTTTATGTCTGTAGCACCTCGAATCAACTAAATCTTGAGCAATTTTGAGTTGAACATCTATGCCATTGTAGAATGTCTGAATTTGAAAATGTTATGGGAAATCATTGTGTCGGAAGTTGCAGAACATAATTTTAGAGACAATTGAATACAAATCAAAATCCACATCAAATTTAGAGACAATATGCTTTGTAGGTTCTCTAAACCAACATCCTCCCCATAACCATTATAGAAAACAACAAAATACAGGAGGTTGTTACTAAAAATTTGAATCACCACAACTCTAATTGCAACAACATCCCATGCAATTTCAACAAGGGCCACCTCTACCAACAACTCAGGAAAGGGTATTACCACCCATAACCATCTTTATACTATGATTCTTCTCCCCTACCAGCGTTCACCACAACCCATAGTGCCCCAACAATCCATCACTATGTTAGAGGAATACGTTGCCAGATGCAGGAGATGACCCAACTCCAAAAAAATACTACTGCAACAATCAAACTACTAGACACTCGGGTGGCTAGATAGCTGAACAATTAAAGTCCCGCACTTCAGGTCAACAACTAAGCACATTGGACAAAATTCTGAAGGAGGCGAAGACGAACAAAACTGGGAGAGGGAAGCAACTTCAGCCACCATCTCATGGTAAAAATATTTCCATTAATCCATATTTTTTAACCCATCATGTTGTTGTCGGTAATCAAAGCAAATAGGAGAAATGACCACAAGTAGAGAGCAATAAAGACGAGGTTTGCAATTTGCAAGCACCATCTCAAGTGTTTCATGAATGTCATATCCCTAGACACTCGTGCACAATGACATTGATAATAAATTTTTTAAGTTTGCATTTTTATTATAGTATGTTAATGGTACCATACTTTTTTTTTATGCTTTACTGAAGATACCAGCTTATACTAATTTTTTGAAAAATATAATTTTTTAAGAAATAAACTTGTTTTGGTGGATGAGTCAATAACTGAGAGGATTTTATGTAAATCAAAGAAGGGGATTTTCAGTGCAATTTTTTAGAGAATAACAATTATCCAATCCTGTTTTTTACTCTGTTTTGATCGTAGCCACAACATCGGTTTTCCCACAAAGTGGTATCAGAGCATAGACGATCCAAGCCACAAAGATGAAGTATGGAATGCTTCCCTTCCAGTTCTCAAAACTTACAAAGGAAAATTACGATAATTGGTGCATAAGGATGAAGCCGCTATTAGGTTCCCAAGATGCGTGGGAGATCATCGATAATGGGTACGAACAACCTACAAAAGATGAGATATTTTCTACAGAAAATAAGGAAGCACTGCAGAAATCATATAAGAAAGATCAACAAGCACTTACCCTAATTCAATGTGCTTGGATGAATCAATGTTTGAGAAGATCTCTTCTGCGGGAAGTGCAAAGGAGGCCTGGCAAAATATTGAGTAATTCGTTCAAGGGGAAGGAGAAAGTAATCAAGGTACGGCTACAAACATTGCGAGGCAATTTTGAGAGACTTGTGATGAAAGAATGTGAGTTGGTTGAAGAATATTTCAACAGAGTTTTGGTTGTGGTAAACCAACTTAAGAGATACGATCAAAAAATTAACGATATTCAAGTGATTGAGAAAATACTTCAGTCACTAGCCCCAAAGTTTGATTATGTGGTCACTACAATTGAAGAATTGAAAGACCTAGAAGAACTTTCAGTCGATCAATTGTTGGGTTCGTTGCAAGCCTATGAAGAGAGGATGAGAACTCGAGTTGAGCCACATACCCAAATGTTGCAAGCCATTTTAAACTTGAGTAAGACAGAGGATTCACAAGAGTCTGTTGGAAACCAAAGGGGCCATGGCAGATTTGGAGGACGAGATCATGGATGGTCATGTGGAAATCTTGGTAGAGAAAGAGAAGGACGAAATACTCCACATGGGGAAAGAACTGGTACTCAAAATCAGTGATATAATTTTCGTGAGCAGGTCGATTTCAAGGTGGTCGAGGAACAAAATCTCATGTCCAGTGTTTTAATTGTCAAAACTTTGGTCATTTTGCTGCTGAATGTAGATAAAATCCACGGAGAGAATAGAAGGTCAATTATGCCGAAGCTATAGTACAGAAATTGGAGGACGCTACTCTGTTATTGACTTGTGATAGAGAGGAGAAAAAAGAATATCAGTCCTGGTTTCTTGATTCGTGTGCAAGCAACCGTATGATGGGAACTAGAGATTTGTTCTACAATCTTGATGAATCGATAATTGAAAATATTTCTTTTGGAGATAAGTCTAAAGTTCCAGTCATGGGGAGAGGTGATATCCTTATTAAGTTGAAAAATGATAATCATGACTTCATCTCTGATGTTTATTATGTGCTTGCATCGTAAACAAATATTCTGAGCATCGGTCAATTGCTAGAAAAGGGATACTTGGTGACGATGAGCGGGCAGGGGCTGATTATGAAAAATAAGGAAGGAATGGTTATTGCAAAAGTCCCAAAGTCGAGAAATAAAATGTTCATGTTGAAGATAAATTATGATAATCCCAAATGCTTGAAGGCGTGTGTGGATGATGTATGGTGGCTATGGCATCTTAGATTGGGACACCTGAATTTTGATGGACTGAAGTTGTTGTCCAAGAGTAGACTGGTTTATGGTTTGTCATCTATACAACATCCTAATCAAATTTGTGATGGTTGTATGTATGGCAAACAATCTCGAAAGAGCTTTCCCAAGGAGTCCTTTATGAAAACCTCTCGGAAGCTTGAATTGGTACATGCTGACATATGTGGTCCAACCAAGCCAAGTTTATTTGGAGGTAACAAGTATTTCTTGTTGTTTATCGATGATTTTATATGAAAGACTTGGGTTTATTTTTTTGAAAGAGAAATCTGAAGCATTTTCGGCATTTAAAAAATTCAAAGCCCTCATGAACTATGGAAGTGGTTGTCAACTCAAGGCTATAAGAACTGATCGTGGTGGAGAATTCAATTTGAATCAGTTTCATCAATTTTGTGATCAATAAGGGATTCGAAATGACTTAAGTGTTCCAAGGGTCGCCACATCAAAATGGGATTGTGGAGCGAAAGAACAGAGCTATCCTTGACATGGTTTGCAGTATACTGAAAACGAAATTAATGCCAAAGGAATTCTGGGCAGAAGCTGTAACTTGTGCAGTGTATATGATCAATCGATGTCCTTCGAATAAGCTGTTAAACCAAACACCACAAGAAGCGTGAAGTGGAAGAAAACCAAGCATTGCACATTTGACAGTTTCTGGGTGTATATGGTACATTCATATGTCTGATGAAGTTCGAAGCAAATTGGATGACAAAAGCAAGAAGTTTGTTTTCGTGGGATATGCTGAAAATTCTTAAGGATACAAATTGTTGATCCTCTGAGTCAGAAAGTGATAATAAGCAGAGATGTGGATTTCGATGAACATGAAAAGTGCGACTGGGACACTTCAACTGATGAAAGATATAATTTTATTTCATCATTCGATGACATTTTTCTGAATGATTCGAATTATGAAGGTAAAGATGCAGCAAAGGCATCACCTGCGTCATCTCAGCAATTGCAAGGAGTTGTGTCCCTTGGATCATCTTCTCAACATATTCGCAGAATGAGAACTTTAGACGATATTTATGCAGAAACAGAGGAAGTTCCAGATTTATCAATGTATTGTCTCATTGCTGATTCTGAGCCGATGACATTTGAAGAGGCTACTCGTGATGAAAAATGGCAGAAGGCGATGGATGAAGAGATGAAGGCAATCCGTAAGAATGATACTTGGAAACTTTCAACACTTCCTTAAGGAAAAAATCCGGTAAGAGTCAAGTGGATTTACAAGTAGAAAAGAATGCAAATGGAACTATGGAGAAGTATAAAGCGAGGCTGATGGCGAAAGGATTCACAAAAAAGGCTGGAATTGATTACGATGAGGTATTTGCACCAGTAGCACGCATGGAAACAATACGCTTGGTCATTGCGTTGGCTGCAATAAGAGATAAAAAAAAATTCAAATGGATGTGAAATCGACATTTCTGAATGGAACATTGGAAGAAGATTTTTACATGCAAAAACCTAAAGGATATGTGATAAAAGGTCACCAAGATAAGGTGTTGAAACTAAAGGAGGCACTATATGGTCTAAAACAAGCTCCAAGAGCTTGGTACAAAAGAATTGACGAGTATTTTCAGCATAATAGATTTATTCGATGCCCGTATGAATATGCTCTGCGAGCGTGAATCTAGAGAAATTATGTATGTGTGCTTATATGTGGATGATTTAATATTCACAGGAAGTAACCGGCGGCTGATTAAAGATTTTAAAAGGAAGATGACTGCAGAATTTGAGATGACAGACTTAGGTATCATGGCATATTACTTGGGCATTGAAGTTATGCAAAGTGATGACGGGATTTTCATGTCTCAGAAGTGATATGCAGAGGCAATTTCAAAGGAAGTTAAGATGGATCGAAGTTGTCCAGTAGCTACTCCAGTGGAGTGTGGTACAAAGTTGTCGAAATGTGATGATGGAGAAAGAGTTGACACAACTTTATTTAGAAGACTGGTTGGAAGACTGCAGTTTTTGACTTTTACAAGACCTGATATTTTATGCGCAGTTGGATTGATAAGTAGATACATGGAAGCTCCGACCATTAATCACATGAAGGTTGCCAAAAGAATTCTTCGATACATGAAATGAAGTTCCAGCTTTGGTTTGTTCTATTCTGCAGGAGCTGAATTCCAGATGATTGGGTACAGTGATAGCGATTGGAGTGGTGATATTGATGATCGGAAAAACACAGGAGGTTTTGTGTTCTTTGCTGGTGACACTGCATTTTCTTGGAGTTCAAAGAAACAACCAATTGTCACACTTTTATCTTGCCAAGCTGAATATGTGGCTGCTGCGTATTGTGTTTGCCATGCTGTTTGGTTGAGAAAATTAATGAAAATTCTGAAGATTGAGCAAACTGGAGCAACGGAAGTCTGCATCGACAATAAATCGGCGATCGTGCTTGGGAAAAATCCGACCTTCCATGAGATGAGCAAGCATATTGATACAAAATATCACTATGTCCGAGAATGCGTTAACAACAAAGAAGTGTTGTTGAATTACGTGAAGTCCAAGGATCAAGTGGCTGACATATTCACGAAAGCATTGAAGAATGAAGATTTTTGGAGATTGAGAAACTATCTCCGATTGGTGAAAGGATGAGGATTACAAGTTTAAGAAGGGGTGTTAGGAAATAAACTTGTTTTGGTAGAATTTAATTTAGTGAAGCAATTTTGGCATAATATATCTTCTTTGTTTAATAAATAAATTAGAGGATAGACTTTCCTTGATTTATATTTTCCGTATTCGAGGTAGGTGGATGAGTCAATAACTAAGAGGATTTTATGTAAATCAAAGAAGGGGATTTTCAGTGCAGTTTTTTTAGAGAATAACAATTATCCAGCCCTATTTTTATTCTATTTTGATCGTAGCCACAACATCAATTTTCCAACAATAATAGCTAAAAGGCGAACACTATCACATGCAGATGTGCAAATCCAACTAATTGCGAATTGTACTGCAATATTTTTAAGGTGAAAATTCTAAAAAAATAGGTGATCCAGGAAACTTTATTAAATCTTGTAAATTAGGAAATCCTGAACCTGAAAAACCGTTGTGTTTTGGCGCTAGCATTAACCTTATGTCATATTCATTGTACAAGAAATTAGGACTTCATACTATGATTCCTTGTAGAACAATCGTTCAATTAGCTGATAAATTTGTTCAAAATCCAAAAGAAATTATATTTGATATTCTAGTACAAGTACATGATTTATATTCCTTGCTGATTTTATAAATAGTGGCGGGAATAAATGAGGGTAAAGACACTTTTTTTTATTTTAGGGAAACCTTTTTTCTCGCTATTGCACAAGAAAATAGCATTGCCACCAAAGACGAATTGACATTGCAACTTAGCAAGGACAAAGTCACTTTTCTCATGAAAGACACTGTATTGCATCTTCATCATGGAACAAACGGCTTTGATCCAAATGCATTGGAGCTAAACTTTATAAGAACTCTAGCCTACTATTTAATGTATAATACATTTTGAAGGAATCACGTCAAAAAAGGTTTCAACTTTATGAATTATCAGATGAAAATTTGGAAAGCAACAAAATGACCGATGATTCCCCTTGTGACACAATACCAGCAAAACCTGTAGTCGCAAATGAGCAACAAATGTGTGAATTTATCAAGCTACTTGATCACATCATACATCCCTTCTTAGGAGAAGGAAAATCATTTCCAATGGTTATATCTAGCACCCTTCACAACGATTAGGAAGAGAAACTCCTTTCATTACTGAGAAAGTACAAATTAGCAATCGCTTGGTCCATTAGAAATATCAATGGGATTTAGTCCTGCTATTTGCCTGTATAACATCTATCTGGAGGAAAACACTAAGCCCTATCACCAACCACAATTTCGCCTCAATGAGAATATACAAGAGGCCGTAAAAAATAAGGTAACAAAGAATTTTCATGCAGGTATAATTATGGAAATCTCTTATAGTGAATGGGTCAGCCCAACTAAAGTCATACCAAAATTGATGATTTTCTTAGGAAACAAACAAAAAAGAAGAGGCATTCATGACAAGGACAGTAACGTGATGGCGAGTATGCATTGATTATATGAAGTTAAACAAAAAGTCATACAAAAGGATCACTTCCCTTTGCATTGGAGAAGCTAACCGGGCATGAATTTTATTGCTTTTTATGTGGTTATTCTAGATATCATCATATCTATCAACCCAACTGATGTGGATAAAACTACTTTTCTATGCCTTTATGGAACTTTTACATATGGGTGAATGTCTTTCGGTCTATGTAATGCACCCATGACTTTCCAGAGGTGTATGTATCAATAATAATCATCTTTGTATTGCAACATTTAACCCTCTAAGGTTCC